TTGTTTTTCCCGGCGCTTGTGAAAACTACTGGGAAATTTAAATTTTGACCTCCCCAATGCACCAACGATATTCACTTTCCAATCGAACAAGATACTGAAGTCGAAAATCGAAGCATTATTTCGACTACTTATCGTGTACACAGATACAAAAAAAATAAAAAAATAAAAAAACACACATCATTGTAAAATCAATACATTCATCGTTTCACTCAGAATCTAAAAGTACGTAGGTAGGTATATATATATGTATATTTTAATATTTCACATATTATTATAATTACTATAAATTATAATAATATAGGTTGTATAGTATTACATACGTACAAATGATAGGTATATTATACCTAGGTATTTTCATATAATTAATGTTTTTTTTTAGTTAAATATATTTTATACTTTAGTTAACTTTCAATTGTGTTTTTCAATTGGTTTCGGGGCATGTAAAACGCGTTAACTGCGTGTTTTATAATATTATAATGTACCTATCATTATTTCCAAGGTTGGAATAGAATAAAATTATTATGGTTCATGATTTTAATATTTAAGTTAACAAATTGTACACAGACGCGCTTACCTATACCAATACGTGCAACATATAATATTATTTGTTTTATGTCAGTCGGTATATACCTAGGTACCTACCTACTGCAGAGCTGTGTGCCTGTGTGAGCTCTGTATGACTGTATGACTGTATTTACCTTAAGGTATACCTACATACGTATTTATTTGATAAATAAATTTGAAAATGACCGGGTATGAATATTATAGTATTATCATCCATATTATTATTAATATTTAATATACGGTTTGTACAATTTTTATGGAATGGGAATTTAATACAGGTATAGGTATGTTTCCATTATACACCTACATATTATAAATACTTGTGTATTATGTATATTAATATATCATATTGGTATCTAGTATACATTATTTTGTTCACATATTATTATTACTATTACTATTAGTTATGTATTATAAATTAAAATAATTAAAATAGGAGGTACCTATGAAATATTCGTACAGTATGAAGAAACTATAGGTTAGGTACCTATGACTCTGTGTATTTTGTTCATGTTTGGCTTCTTAAGTATAAACTTAAGACCAGTTTATAATTAATATTATATAATGTATGGATACTAAATAGATGGGTATTTATGAATAAATAAATATGTGTGTGATGAGGGACATCGGTAATATATTATACGTATATAATATTATATCTATTATTATACAATTACTGCACGAAAAGTGTTAGGTAGGTACCCGGGCTTATTTTAAGGATTTATATTTTGTGGGTTCATGATTGATTTGATGCACCCCTCGCACAGCCCCACGCCCACCCCACCAAGCAAGAAAATACCTACCCACCCCGCTCATTTTTCATTTAAATTCAAGCAAAATATGTCCAAAGGCCCGTTGAAATAGCCCTGTTAGGCCAGCTCACTTGTTGTACCTACATCGCACGTTGTAGAAGTTATTCATAGTTTGAAATTTTGCATGTATATAAGCCATCCATGTACATTATGTTCGAACTATGTAAAATAGGTACATATTTAGTCATTTAGGTACAATAATACGGCAGTGCTGCCTTTGCCAGGGTTTTCCTTTTGCCGTGAGGGGGTAGCTGATAATTTGTTATATAGGGTAGAGAAAACTAGAATCCTTCATACGTTTGGTATGCTGATGCCGTGCTGGGTATAAAAAACTAATTTTAAAATTTTGCTGCAACCTTCATATAAATTATAATTTTAATATACGGTTGCGTCTAACGTGATGCGTCCATAGAACAATGAATGTATTTTGTAATTTTTCTAAAACTTCGGGGATGGCTGTAGGCTGCAGCCCTCTCAGACCCTGTCTATAGTGAGCTGTAATATGGTACCTACTATTATGTTTAATAGACTTTCGTGAGTATAAAGCTCAATTAAATAAATATTATGATCGGATAGTACTAAAAGTGACAACATCATACTAATATTATTATAAAGTCCAATGTTTTTCAAAAATAAATCGATTATCGGTACCTCTACCTAGGTAGGTACTCGTATATTACTATATTATTACATACAGTTTAAAATTGTAATATATAGGTACATGTTTTCAGCAGCCAGTCAATCGTCATTGATCTCGACGAACACTAATATTATTATGTATTTATTATTGTAATTCTTATTATCAAATAGGTATTGAAACCATGGGCGAAAATATTATCATTACAATAATTTAGTCCTTGGTAGACAACGATCGGAATGAAATGTGCGCAGATGATGCGATAACTTAAATAATAAATTGATTAATCCCCATAAACTATATTATATTATTTTGTACGTTTACACTTTACAGTACCTAGGCACCTATATGTATCTAATATTTAATGTTGTGTTGTTAAGCTATTTATTTTGGAGGTCACGTTGACAATTTCATAATAATATTACAGTATTCAGAGCGTTAGTTTATTCATAATGATATTAATTTACATTACAATAAACATTTTGTTTAAACAAGCTCGGGATTAAAAGTAACATATAGGCAGATTAAATAATATTTTATCTACAAGACTACAAAGTATACATAATATATTATGTATATTATTAATGTGTTAAAGATTAATATTATGTATTTTACCTAAAGTAATATTTATAAGATAACACTTAGCTTTTGGCCGTAGCTGCAGGTTAATTATTTATATTAGTAACATTAAAAATTAATATTATTAAATAAGAATAAATAAATTATAGATATGTTTTGAAAATATTGTCAGAAATCAGAATAAAGCTAAAAGCCGTGAGCACGGGGGGCACCTGAGTTGTAGACATTATTATTATTAGATAAGTCATTTGAAAAACGAATTAGATATAGCTTTATAATAAATGTGTCATGTAAATATATACTGAGTACCTACACATTAAATTACAATTTCGATTTAAAGTTGCATTTATTGATTTTAAATTAATCCAATAGGCACCTATTAATTATTATATTATACAATATCTATGCTTCAATGGCATTATAGATAGATTTTGAACTATTTTGATTTTTTTTTTCAAAAAAATTAAATCAAGTATACAAAATACAAAATATTTGTGTAGGAAATAATCGTCATAAACATTTAATTTTAGATCAAAGTAATTATTAAGGGTGAATACTGAATGTACCTACGTCATAGTGTCATACACATTTATTATTTATACCAAATTTACATGATTAGAATGACATAGAAACCTAATGTTATATTTTTATGCTCTTTGCTATTCTATTTATATAACATAATATAAATCAATGTCTAATTTTATTATTATTATTATTATTATTATTATAGTATTTTAATAATAATTTGTATGGTATCAACAACATTTTTTTATCTGTTTATCATTATTAATGTATATTAATGCTGAAAGTATTTGTTTAAAAAGACTATTATAACACTGTTAATATCAAAATTTTTTTAATACACATTACATAATAATATTATATGATAATAATTAATGGAGGTCTATTATTTTAATTTGTCTATGTAATAAAAATATTTATTTAAAAACTATATATTATATATATTATATAGAAATTAGATAATATTTTTTTTTACATTATTTATTTACTATTTTTTTTTTCGTTTTTTTTTTGTTTGATGCCAAGACATAATAAAATAATAAAATTGTTTCTATAAATAAATAATGAGAATAACACATCGAGTATGTAATGTAGCAAGGTTTATTTTTTTTTAAAAATATACAACAAAAGAAAAAGTATTACCTTTTTTCTATTAATAATATACACGTCGGAGTATTACAATATTATTTATTTGTGTAGTCTAAAACAAGTACAATTTTTTAAGTCCATATATAATAATAATAATAATAATAATATTTTAATGAATACAATTATAAACAATACATAATTAATCAAAATGTATAATATGAGAGTTATGCATACAACAAGCTTAATATGCTAACAAAAGTGTGTGTAAATAAATTAATCTAAAACTAAAAAAAAAAAAAAATAATAATAATAATAATAAGGAAATAAGAACATGAAATACATTTTACTGGCCTAGTCCGTTGAGAATGTTTGTCTTTCAATAAATGATTTACAATAGATATTTACGTGCTAGGAACAGGTAACCAATACAATCTTGCCTTAAAAGTATGTATTCAATTGTTTTTTTTTTACTCCAAAACTACTCTTACATAATATTAATAATTATCATGGCAACCGCACGTCATATTTTACAAGCATTACTGTATATAAGTTTTTTTAAATATTTTTTTTAATTTTTTTTTTTACAACCTACTGTTAATTAATAATAACACATTTTATTGTCCGTCAGACATAGTATTGACACATATCAAACAATATATACACACTTATTATATAATATATATAATATACATTATACGTAATATATTTTATACATTGGCGCTCAATGCCCACGTATAATGTCATAAATAATAGTATACGAATAATTAATATATTATATTATATAATATAATATACAAATATGTAATAAAAAAACTACTTTTTGATTCACGTGATACGCGAGTAATGGCTTATAGTCATAATTATTTTGACTATTATATTTTTTAAATCACTTAAAAAACGTATATTACAATAATATAATATTATCTTCAGTAAATATTTGTGAATTTTGTTTTCAAACCGCTGACATTTCAAAATAAAATATATATATATTATACATTTTTATTGTATATACAGAAATCGAATGACGTAATTGCGAATATTTAAACGATTACATAGTGCGATATTTAAAATAATAAATATAATATCTATTAAAAATAAATGCTAGGACTGCCAATCGATAATATAAGTCTATGCTTTAAATTTACAATAGTTTTTTTTTTTGTTTTATTTAAATTTTTTTGTTTAGTTTTGTTGTTTTTTAATCGACGACCAACTCACATGACCACAAAGTCTTTAATACATCGGTATTATTGGATTTGTTCGCTATAGTTTATCTCAGTCTGTGTGTAGGTGTATTTTTATTCGGTCCGTTGTTCGATGACTAACGGCAACGGCTGCTGATCGATGGTGTTGCCCATTGACGAGCCCCCGGTACAATGGCTGTTCTTCACTAGCTCATCAATGTCTTCAACGAACACATTGTCTTGGTTGGAGTGGTCGATGGATCGCTTGTAACCACTTAGGCTCACCTATTTGCAAAAACAAAAAAACGTGACGCATTATTTATTTATTTATATTTTATTGTAATATTAACGCAGTTAATAACGGCAGTTACAATATGTGCTAAGGACATTTAATACAGTTGAAAACTCAAGAAAACAACTGTAAAATAATAAGTGCCCATAAGTATAGATAATAATATATAAATACAAAAATAAGATTGTTCGGGCCATTCAGGGAGTGTATAGTATAGGTTCTGAGGATGAGGTGAAGGGGGTGGTTATGGCCTTACGAAGTGGCTTGACTCGTAGTATAGAGAAAGGAAGCTGAATGAGGGTGGAATAAGTGGGAATTCTAAATTATTATTTACTACTACGACGTTAAAATACACCTCTTGGAAACCCCGTACTGGTATAACATAATAATAATAATTGTTATTATTATTATTATTGTTGTTGTTGTTAGTATTGTTGTTCTTACCTCGACGTTGTTGTTGGAAACTAACGGTGAATCGGGCGGAGACGAATTTGGTGACATGTCAGCCGGACTGGGTAGGTGCGAAGAGGCGAGTAGGGCGAACGCGTCGACACCCGATGAAGGAGAGATGTTATGTCCGGCGGCGGCCATCATTTGCTGCCTTATACCCTGCGCGACGGCGGCCACGGCGGCCGCGGCAGAGTTTGGCGACACGGGACCTTCAACCGACTGAACCGCGTTGTTACCATAGTGACCACCAGACATTGGGTCGGATAAACACTATATAAACATAAAATATTGGTATTGTTATTATAAGTTTCACGTGGGAAAAAATAAATCTTTTATAAAATATTATTTTAAATTAAAAACGTTTTTGTTTTTTTTTTTAATTTGCATAAATTTAAATTAATTTACTTCAGCCATATACTTTTTAAAGACAAATTGGATTGTATAATAAATTATTATTGGCCTTACTATTTAAGACATTACTTTAATGGAAAATAAGTATAATAATTAATAAGTAATAATAACAAAAAAATGTATTAATCTCGATCTAAATTTTAAATGTACAATAGACGAGTTTAAATTAATACTATAGGAATTTACGTAAAAATTCAACTGGCTATTAACTGTTTTTTTAAAATTAAATTGTTATGAAATTCTTTGTTAAACGAGTTTTATTTGTAAGCTTAAATTTGTTGTTTTATTTTTTTAATCTAAACACAATAATTATTAAGTACTAATGTCTAATACAGTACCTACCTAATAAGTTACTATGATAGCTAATGTTCAATGCGTTTAATACTTTAATGTCATCATTAAACATTAATTTATGTCCCAGGTTTGTTGTGTCCCAGACATTAATTGATAATTATAAAACCCATAAAACAGTGAACTAGAATAACATTTTACTGAAATAGGTATTAGGAATAGATGAAATTAAACAATAACAATATACAGTCGGTATTTAGTACAAAAACTGTATTATTTCAGTAAAACAAAATTATTAAAAAATAAAACATATTACCCAATTGAATAACTGTTATATTAGGTAATCAAAAATGTTATTTTTATGTACAACATTGAAATCACAATATTATAAATAATTTTTTATTGAAGTACTGTATATTTATTTTTATTTTTCAAGTTGGATATTGTTTTAATATTAAGGGGCCTGCTCGCGATTTTTCAAATTTTCCGCAATTCTATAAAATTTGAAAATTAAATTTTATATTTTAGTTGCCACCTCAATTATAAGACTTTTCCACTAATCTACTACCCAATACCTATTTAGGGGGGGTTGATAGGGTGTATTATATCGGTCAAAACACAGTTTACAGGAAAAACTCTCACACCTCGTAGATTGGTCCGATTTCCGTAATTTTTTTTTTTGTTAGATAGAGGAATATTTTTTACAGGGCGCATTGGACTTCGATTTTTGATTACGTCGCTAAAAACAAAAAATAATACAAAAACTAAAAAGTTGTAAAAATTGATTAAATTCAAACTTGTAACATAAGATTTAGAAAAATAATGTTGAAAATCCAAGTCCAATGCGCCCTGTAAGAAGTCTTCCTCTATCTAACAAAAAAAAAATTACGGAAATCGGACCAATCTACGAGGCGTGAGAGTTTTTCCTGTAAGGCATGTTTTTGAGCAAAAAAACAGGTCGCGTGCAGGCCCCTTAAGTAGAATTGTTTCTTAGAACAGAATTTAATAATCAGGAAAATTAAGAAAATCATCAGGATATCATTTTGGGATTTAGTAAATGAAAATGCTGAGTTATAACTTATAAGACTTAAATAGTAGGTTTTAGTTATGAAATACATAGGTACCTATAACATATTATAACTTGTAACTACTGTTAAAAATAATATGAAACATTTATCGGAGATAAGCTATACTCTTATAACTTTTAACTCCGATAACGTAATTCACGAGTGATGACTTAATACTTATTATTTTATAATATGACGACGTCTAATCTTTCGTGATGTTGAAACATTTCATTTGTTTAAAAAAAAATATAAATATATACGGTATAGTGTATACCTACACATAAGCGTGAGTTGACATTCGCGATAGAATGCTTATATACAATCCCAGATAGTCTCAACCCCCATTCCCTTACCATCACACCCTAAGCCACCCTAACCATGCATGTATTAAAACAATACATTTGTTACTCTGTTTATATCTGTGTATGTGTACTGTGTAGGTATCTATTGTTGTGTAATAAAATTAAAAATCATTCAAATAATTATCATTATCGATTTAAAAGGAAACAACACGATATATAGTTTGTTATTTTGACGTCCCGATCAAGTTGATGTAGATGTACATTGTACAGATATACTTGTTAAATATAGGTAATAAATAATAGTATACAGTTTGGATGGTTGCATTGACTTCTCGATGTTACAGCACGTTCGTCGAGAACTGTTTTGCTAGTAACCATCAAAATTCGAATGCATTATTAATTTGAAAAAGTTTTTCCACAAACCGCAGGAGGGACCTAGGCCCAATAAACGACTTTCCCCCCTGACATATTATTGTGTAACTATTTGTCCATAATTTATTTAATTCCGTATATTTTTAATTATATTTAAATTAGGCTTTAGTCCATACATACATATATATATAATACAATTATATAAAAAATAAAATACATAAATATAAAAACCAACTCAATGGAATACTATTTCAAACACGCAACTGATGAAATTTACTTTTGATTACAAATAATGGTAAAATAAATAAGTAATATAACAATTATGTTTTCACTGTTTTTTTTTTTTTTTTTGTGACGTATTATGCAGTACATTTATTATATGCCATTATCGTTGAATCATAAATTATAAGCTTTGCAAAACGTCCTTGATTAAAATTTAATAATGGTAATTTGTCAATATTTATTAAATTAAAGAATACGCACAAACTGTACACATAATTTATATTTTATCATACCTAAAAATATTTAAATTTGAAAAATATTATAATTATGTGTGAATATTTATTTTGATTCCAAGTAGTAAAATTATTTGTTTTCATTAGCTTACATATGCATGTATATTATGTAATTAGTATACCCGAAAGATATTTTTTCTCCTTTAAATTACCCCTATTAGGTACCTGTGAACTATGGATAAATATTACAGTTTTAATTAAATTAAAGAAATATATACATTTTTATTTTCTTACCGGTATTCTTGGGTAAAGGTGTAATGCTTCTTCTTTGATGTTTTGTGCGTCTCTAAACACAACAGTCCTGATTACATTTTGAATATGATCTTCTGGCCAAAATCCTAACAATATTCTTTGAGGACGTCCTCTGCCTTTAGGCCTTAAGTCTGTAAACATAAATATATATATATGTATAAGAATTTTTACCTATATAATCTATTATTTTCTGATATATGTTATTATTTATAAACATATAGAAATTATTAATTAGGACTTATTATATAAGTAAACTTAAAAGTAAGTTATGTTCTGGGTTCAATACCTGTAATTATTGAAAATATTTTAGGTTAGCTTTTTGATTTATTAATCAAGAATGGTTCGTTGAATAAATTAATAGTTAAACAATGTGTATGTAACTAGTTATTAATTTGTATTCTATCTGATAATTAAGTCCTAAGTTTTTTAATTATTATTTATAAAATAATAGTAAAGTATCTCAAATTATAGAATTAAAAATAAATAATAATAATTTATATATATCCCAAGGAAAAATATTTTGAAGTATTTATTCGTAAGTATACAAAGTAAAGTCAGTATAGTTTTTCAAGAAAAATAATTACAAGTTTTATTTGATTGTTAATTTTTGAACAAAGTCATGCATTATTTATATTGACAATAATGAATTTTGCAAAAATGCAAACAGCAATTTTGCTCTATTTAACATAAGTAGATACTTATAAGTGATGCAATCTATACATTTGATCATTAGTTTCCCTAAGCGCAAAGGAGAATTTACGACATGACTGTCGACCAAAATGTGAAAAAATCATAATTGCTTTTATATTTAATATCACAACACACCACTATCCTGCGCCGATGTAAGCAGCGAAGCGAGTCGAGTGCCCAACACCCGGTGTCTGTATCCTGTCCGGCCTTTTCATATTATACATGTAAAAAAATAATGTATAATAATATAATGATTAATGAATTATAATTGTAATAAATTATAATAGTTATGTCAATTATTGGTATTGAATATTGAAAAATAATATAAACACATAATATTAAATTACATTTATATTGGAAAAGTTTTTCAAAATATCCTTAAAAATAGTGTATTGATATATTTCATAGATAATTAATATATTAAAACAATAAAAAAACACACACCTATTTAAAATTATTTTTTCACTTAGTAATTTATTGTTATTGATTTTTAGAGATATTCTTAGAAGTATTTTTTTTTAATTTCCTTTGAATATACATACTATATTAATTAATTTTTATACACAAATTATCATTTAGTATGCATGTTTAGTAAGCAGGAATGAGAAATTTTAATTAGAAGTATAAATCTTATTTCTGTGTAAAAAGATAAATTACAATTTACGGATAATGACATTTAATTTTCTTCGATTTATGTAAACCACAAGAATAATTTTATTTAAAAATAAAAATCAATTAGTACTGCTCTCTATTTGAGTGTATATTTTTTCTTTGCGTCTAATTATTTATTTAAAATAGGTATTAATCAATTATTAAAGTTATATTTGTTATACCAACACAGATTGGCGGCTTTTCGAATTTTGATGAATTTCCGGGGAATTGAACGGCCAAGAAAAACATTAGTTGTTCGGGAAAACTTTTAATTAGAACATTTTGTGTTTTTAATTTTCTTTGCGAACACGGTCGGTAAAAAATGAATAAATCTTAAAATGTTTAAAATGAAAAAAAAATTATAACGGTGGTGAAGTGTGACAATATTTGGGGTTTATTTAGTGTCAACAACCGAAAACCACGGCTTTGGGCGATAGTCTGGTGGAGATTATATTTTAAATTTTTGTCCCTCGTAGTTTTGAAACAAGTTGTGTGCAACCGAAAAGAACGTACAAAAAATAAAAATATGGACAGGATATTTCTGGTATATTTCAGATAATTAATCTTATATTAATTCAAGACTTCAAGTGTTAAAAGTTTAAAATCCAGAAATTAACATTTTATCAAATGAAATACAATTAAGTAAACCATGCAGTCCATATACAGGGTGTCGGACACTATTGTCTTTCGCTCTGGTGCTCACCTATACAGTATAGTTTGTTGTGATATTAAATTTAAAAGTCATACAAATTACGGTAGTAAAAATATCATAAACGATGATGTATATATGCTTGTAAGTAAAAAGTTTAAAAAATAATAAATTCTAATACCGTAAGCCCAAGGGTTATACCTAACACATCTGTAAGATATACAAGTAAATAAATAATCGAGGAAAAATTCAAGTTTCTATTATTATAATTTTAAGAATAACTATAAAATGCCCACTAAAAAAGAGTGCTATATTATACGTGCAACTTTTAGCACACCCTTTCCCGAAAGAACTACTAAAAGGGAACACAACTCCGTCAAAATGTAAAAAAAATCTCAAAGGTAGGTACTAAAACGGTACAGTAATAATATTAACGCGCTATAGTTACGTAAAAAAACAGTCGACACGAAATACGAAAATCGTGGTATAGTTATTTTTTTATAATTTATCTATGTAGGTACACGATATATATAGTAGACAGAGCAGATGCACTCGTATATGCACGGCAAGTTCATATATACATAATATAATAATATAATAATACGCGGCCAAACTGCCACGACCACAGCAACGGGGACGCCGCGGGGTTACAGTGGGACGGCGGCAAAACCACGAGGCGAGCTAATATGGTTAAAAATCGTACCGCCCCTATTTTCTATATATCATAACACACGCGACGGTGCCGGAGGGGATTGGGAATGATCGGCGGAGGGTGCATGCAGTAACTATACTCATTACACGTGTTCGTATTATACGTGTATGACGACCGACGACGACAACGACAACGATCCAGAGCATAATAATATATAATATTCTGCACCCCTCGCACATCATAATAGTGTATATAAATACATATAGGTAATATATATATGTGTGTAAGGGGGTATCGAGTACGAGTATAGCACGCGTGCGCACTGTTCGCACATATATATTTATGTATACCGCCATACGCCCTGGGGATTTTCGTAATACATATATGTATATTGTGTATATATATGTTATAATATATAGTGTGGTGACGTGGAAAAGTCTGGAAACTCGGGTCGTACCTATACATACCATGTACACAACTATACACGTCCTTATTATTTGTCGAATCGAAGGGTTTCGAAGATAAAACAAAATTCGATAAGCTGTCCACAGTATTTGGGTAGGTATTTATTATTACGTTACCAAATTTTGTTGTATAGCTATAAAATATTAAATTATATATATATAGGAGATCGTCCGGTTCTTAATAACAGCGAATCGTTGCCCCCTTCCATACTCGTCGACGAAGACGCATTATTTATATAAAATTCTATGATGCTCTTTGGAGTTTTACTCACAATAAACGACGACGATAATAATACATATAAGTACTTAATAATAATAATAATAATAAAAAAAAGGTGGGCAAGTGGGTGTCGCTCTGCTGTACAGTAGGTTACAAGTGGGTCACTGTATAATGGATGATATTAAATTTGAATTCAACGATATAATATCATTGTATAAGAAAAACGATTCTGAGCGGAGACGGTATGTCAGTCTATGTATAAGACATATTATGTACATATCTATGGTATTAAACAAAAATTTGACCTATAATGGGTACATATAATAAATTCCAAATTAATCATATCAAAATATCCATTAGGTACTTATAACGCGTTATACATCAACAAAAACCTTGATACTATCATAGATATATAATAGTACACTTTAGAAGTTTCAAGTATCCACGAATAATATTATTCAATCACTACAAAATAACTAAAATAGTTATTCTAGGTTTTTTAATATGTAATTTCGTCCAAATTTGAATTTAAAATGTCTGTAAAAAATAACTGTGTTCATATATTTTTTAGATTTTTTGGTTACAGTATGAACTATTTACGAGAACCTTTGTGTTGAATTTGCAATCCTTAGCTATAAAAACTGAACATTTTATAATTTATTAATTACAATGATTCATAATTTTCGAGATTTTGATAAATTTTGTCAAAATTTGATCTTTAAATGCTTATAAAAAAAAACTGTGCCTATGTATTTTTAATATTTTTCAACTGATATTGGAACAATATATCAGGAGCCTTGTATTACATTTTTACACTTTTTTGCCCAACAGATAAAACTTTATTGACATTTATAGAAAAAAAAACTAAAAAAAATTGAAAGGTGTAAAGGTCCATAAACAACTCAAAAAGAGTCAAAATATTTTCAAAATTGTATGGTGTATAGGAAATGCTAATATAAACATTCAGTGAAATTTTCATGTATCTACAGTTATTTGTTTTTGAATTACAACAAAATAAGGAAATCGCTACATGGGAAATCGAGTGAATATTCAATTTTGTAAAAATTTGAATTTCAAACGCTCATAAAAATTTAATTTGACTTTCTTATAGACATTTTTCTTTTGATAAAGGTAGACAAACTTATAAGGAATCTTGTGTTTAATTTTCAAATCTTAGATTTAAAAAGAAAAATTTTGACGAATTCTTAACTCAAAATAATTTGCTAATTTTCGTGATTTTTCCATATTTTGTCAATTTTTGAACTTTAAATGATTATAAAAAAAAATTGTGACTAAGGATTTTTAATATTTTTCATCTGCCTTTGAAACAATATATTAGGGGCCTTCTATTAAATTTTCAAGCTTTCGCAACCAACAAATAAAATTTTATTGATATTTTTAGAAAAAAAACTAAAAAAAAATGGAAAATTAAAATGTCCCTAAACAGTTCAAAATAAATCAAAATATTTTGAAAATGTTATCGTGTATAGAAAATGCAAATATAAACAACCAGTGAAAATTTCATGTATATACGTTCATTTGTTTCAGAGTTACACCAAAAACCAAAATCGATTTTTTGGAAAACGAATTTTGCGTAAAAATTCCCGTTTTTCCTTAATTTTTATGTTGTTTTTCCCGGCGCTTGTGAAAACTACTGGGAAATTTATACTTTTGACCCCCCAAAGTACCAACTAGATTCACTTTCCTATCAGAAAAGCTACTGATGAAGAAAATCCAAGCATTTTTACTGTCCTAAAACGTGATGACAGACACAAAAAAAAATAAAAAAATAAAAAAATAAAAAA